TTGCCAAACCAAATCCAATTTCTCAAATAAGCCCTGGAGAAGGAAGACAGACAGGAAGTCATACTTCTCCTGTTTTTACTTCGACACCCCCCCTCCCCAACTGCTTGCGTCCAATACAAACTTTACAAAAAGCTGAATTAGCTAAACTGGAGGTTAGCATGAAATGTCTAGAGACCTGCCTCAAATTGCTGAAAAGAATGAGGTTCTTTTCCCCCCCCACTCTCAAACGCGTGGCTGGCTCAGATCATGACCTTGAACTGTTCCTCAGAGTCTTCAGAATTCAGGAAATGAGAGAAATTCGGGGAGGTGAGGAGAAAAGCACACCGATGTGTTGATCCTTACCGGCATTATTTTAACCGAACAGACCTCTTTTTCAGTAGAAGTGAAAACTGAGACCATGAGAATTACTCAGACAGATAAGGCCAAGGGTTATCACCTTCAGCTTCTGGTTTCCAGGAGTTTAGATAACGTTTATTATACCCACATTTCTATCCATCTTGCTTCACAAGGCAAATTAGAAGAAGAGATTGGATTTATACCCCACCCTTCACTACCTGAAGGAGTCTCAGAGCAGGTTACAGTCTCCTTTCCCTTCCCCTCCCCACAACAGACACCCTGTGAGGTAGGTGGGGCTGAGAGAGCTCTTTCGAGGACTGCTCCTGAGAAAACAGCTCTGAAAGAACTTGTGACTGTCCCAAGGTCACGCCAGCATCTGCATGTGTAGGAGTGGGGAATCAAACCCAGTTCTCCCAGATTAGAGTCCACGCTCCTAACCACTGCACCAAACTGGCTCTTGACGAAAACACCAAAACAAACCAATTGAAATTACACAGAAACATCATAAAACCAATAGCAGCGAAGGACATTAAACATAACCCGATAAAGCCATTGTCCTTACGCCCTCTGACACAAATTTCAGGTCAAAGGCTTCTGGAAGCTCACTGATCATTCCTGTTCTCCCCAGCAGCTGATACTCTGAGATAGACAGTCTCTGCACATGGATGCTCCATGTTGCTGCCATGGCCAATAGCCAAATTCCTGGACCTGCTCTCCAGGAATTTGGCTAACTTTTTCAGGAGCTAGCTACAATAGGGTTGCTGCCAGGTCCCACCTGGCCATCAGCGGGGGTGGCAGGACATGGATGCCAGCTCCAGGTGGGAAGCTCCTGGAGATTTGGGGGTGGAGCCTGGGGAGGTCAAGGACCTCAGTGGGGTGTCATGCCATAGAGTCCACCCTCCAAAGCATCCATGTTCTCCAGATGAACTGATCTCTGTCGTCTGGAGATGAGCTGTAGCTCCAGAAGATCCCCCAGCACACCTGGAGACTGATATCCCCTAAACTACAGGACAAACTGCACATTACTATTTTCGACATGTTGTGTCTGATTCAAAGGTTAGCCCAAGGAATCAAGTCAGTCCTATACCAGCCGGGATGCCAGAACATAAGCACATAAGAGACGCCAATGTTGGATCAGGCCAAAGGCCTATGCAGTCCAATGCTCTGTCACACAGTGGCCAAAAATACCAGGCACCCTCAGGATATTTATAATTTATTTATTTACTAGCAGTAAAGCCCGTTGTGGAAATAAATACAACGAGATCTAGAAAGAGGCTCTGGGGGAGTGCTCTGGCTTTAGGCAAACAGTGTCATTTTGCTGTGGTGACCTCAGCAGGGTATAATGACAGAGTCCACTGTTTTCTCCAGAGGAACTGATCTCTGCTCCCTGAAGAGTAGTTGTAATTTTGAGTGATCTGTAGCCCTCACCTGGAGATTGGCAACAATTGTTACCCAGGATGAAATGGCTGGTTTGGAGGGTGGAGTCTATGGCATTCTACCTGTCTGAGGTCCCACCCCTCCGCAAACCCCACCCTCTCCAGGCTCCACCCCTCAAATCCCCAGGAATTTGCCAGCCTGGAGTTGGCAACCCCATCTCCTTCCCAGCTAACCATCAACCTACCATTATCTGCCCCTTTGACTTCAGCTGACTCTTGCCCCAGAGCCCCTATCTATACCTTGTGGCTAATAGCCACTGATGGACCTCTGCTCCATATGCTTATCTAATTCCAGGGCTTTTTTTGTAGAAAAAGCCCACCAGGAAATCATTAGCATAATAGGCCACACCCAACAGCAGAAACTCATTAGCATATTAGGCCACAGCCCTGACAGCACAGTTCATTAGCATATTAGGGCACACACCGATGTTATCAGAAGTGTGGCCATCCAGCCACGCCCACCTTTTGCTTCTTATTCTGTTCACCTTGTTTGTGGTCAAAACCCAGGGCCTTTTTTTGTAGCAGGAACTCCTTTGCATGTTAGGCCACAAACCCCTAATGTAGCCAATTCTAATGCGTTTCTGCTGTTGGGTGTGGCCTGTTATGCTAATGAGTTCCTGCTGGGCGTGGCCAACTTGGGAGCCAGCCGGAACTCCGTTCCTGTGCGTTCCTGCCAAAAAATAGCCCTGTCTAATTCCCTCTTGAAGCCGTCCATATGCTTATCTAATTCCCTTTTGAAGCCAGGAACCCCCATCCCAAGCATGTGGGGCCCTGGTATGGATCAGAGTTGTGGCACACAGGGTGGGAAGGGTTTAGCATCCCCTGGTGCCATTCTCCCGACCCAAAATGAGTTCTGCCCCGATCCAAATGATTCTGAGCCGGGAACTCCCAGGTGACACATTTATTGCTGCTGCTGCTGTTGTTAATTCAATTTATACCCCGCCCTATCCCACAAGTGGTCTCAGGGTGGCTTACAGCATATAGCCCACAAAACAATAAAACAGTAAAAGCAATAAAACAGTCAATGGCATCAAGCCCCATGCCTCCTATCAGGTGAATATAGATGGATATAGGTGACTGACTGATACAGGAGGAGTTGTGGCTCAGTGGTTAAGCATCCGCTTGGCATGCAGAAGGTCCCAGGTTCAATCCCTGGCACCTACAGTTAAAAGGATCTGCTGGTACGTGATGTGAAAGACTTTTCTGGAGACCCTGGAAAGCCCCTGCCAGTGTGAGTAGACAACACTGCCCTTGATGGACCAGCGGCCTGATTCAGTATAAGGCCACTTCATGTGCCCAAAAGTCAGGTCAAAGCCGCCAGGCACAACACATTGGAAATTGTAATGTGTGCCTTGGCCCTGACCTCACAGATATCGCATGAGGTTGCTAACATCCAAGTGGACAGGGTTGCCAGCTCTGGGCTGGAAAATACCTGGAGACTTTGGGGGTGGATCCGGCAGAGGGCGGGGTTTGGGGAGGGGAGGGGCCTCAGCATGGTACAATGCCACAGAGTCCACCCTTCAAAGCAGCCATTTTCTCTAGGAATGCTGATCTCTGCCAGCTGAAGATCTGTTGTAAAAGTGGGAGATCCCCAGGCCCCACCTGGAAGCTGGCAACCCTACAAGCGGAGCATGGCGTTCTCCTGGAATGACAACTGATCTCCAGACACCAGAGATTCTCCTAAAGAAAACGGCAGCTTTGGAGGAACGGGGATGGGTGGACATTAAGGCATCGCATTCCCTGCGTTCCCTCCACCTTCAAATCTCCAGGAATTTCCCAACCTGGGGTTGTCAGCCCTATCACAGCAGAGTTCCAGAAACTGATTATGCATCATACGAATCTGTTACGTCATTCTCCAAACCCTCTGCCAATCTGATTCAGCTGGTGGCCTAAGTTCTAGTATATAAAAGGTAAAGGTTCCCTTGCTCGAAAGTCAGTCGAATCCAACTCTAGGGTTGCGGTGCTCATCTCCGTTTCAAAGCCGAAGAGCCAGCGCTGTCCGAAGACGTTTCTGTGGTCATGTGGCCGGCATGACTAAACGCCAAGGCGCACGGAACGCTGTTACCTTCCCACTGAAGTGGTACCTATTGATCTACTTGCAATTTCTTGCTTTCAAACTGCTAGGTTGGCAGGAGCTGGAACTAGAGACGGGAGCTCACGCCGTCATGCGGCACACTCGGGTCTCGAACTGCTGAACTACTGACCTTCCACAGCCTGCAGTTCAGTGTCTTAACCACTTGAGCCACCGCAGCTCCCTCTAGTATATAAACGGAAGGGGAAAGATCTGTACGGTATAGCCATTCATATTTGTATGAGCCTGTATCATGCTTCCCATCCCAACTTTACAGTCATTTTAAAAAATGACTGAAATTGGCTGAACTGATTACCAAATCATTTAAAAAACAACCACCAGGGGCTTCGATCCCATGCATGAGTTTCATGCACCCTGGATTCATTCAACAGTAGAGCGCACTTCCTTTCCCACTGAAACTTCAGTTTGTACAAGGGTCCCGTTGAAAACCATTAATCTCACACGAAGGTAATGTTTGGGGAAGAATGCATCTCGCGTGCATGAAGTCATTCGTGGGGTCCAAGCTGCTGTCCGAACCAGAACTGAACCAGACTCTCATGCATTGTTATTTTTTGCCGTCAAGTCACTGCTGACTTATGGCAATCCAGTAGGGTTTTCAAGGCAAGAGACGTTGAGAGGTGGTTTGCCATTGCCTGCCTGTCACGACCCTGGTATTCCTTGCTGGAATCCCATCCAAATACTAGCCAAGGCTGATCTTGCTTAGCTTCCGAGATCTGACGAGATCAGACTCACCTGGGCTATCCAAGTCAGGGTAAACTCCCATTAACTAGTAGTGAATCAGAATGGAACCCCATTTCTGTAATGGCATCCAGTGTTCCCTCTAAGCTGAGTTAGTGTGAGCTAGCTCACAGTTTTTTAGCCTCCAGCTCACACATTTTTGTCTTAGCTCAGGAAGGAGGGCTCTAGAGCAAACTAATTCATACAGTAGCCAAATCACTTGCTTACAACTTTAATGCCAGTAGCTCACAAAGTAGAATTTTTGCTCGCAAGACTCCACAGCTTAGAGGGAACACCCCGCATAAATCTTTATCACCTTTAAAAGTTACTACATTCTCAGTCCATTTGTGCTTGGACTTTACTTCGTAGTACAGTGTTTGCTGATGTTGTATGTGGGGCTTCTTTTGTGTCCATTTCAGCTACCAACAGGAGATCGGTAGAAATGTCGAGTCCCCCCAAATCTGTCTCCGATGCAGAGTTATCAAAGAAGAAGAATGTCAAGAAGAGTAAAGGTGGAATTAAGGTAAGGAATCTTCGGTGCTGCTCTTCATGTGGGGGACGGCCTTCAGTGGAGAAGGCCCCAAGTTGTCGTCATCGTCATCTGTTGCGCCGTGCACAGTTTCTAGGACTCTTAAAATGGTCTGTGAAGGTTTCCTAATCCACCCCCAAATCCGAGCCTCAAAACAAAATTTTAAGAGCGACTTCATATGGTCACTATATAGGATTAGGAAAAAGGCCCGTACAACGGTCTCTAGAAAGAGGGTCTGGACGGGTGCCCCGGCCTTGGACACTCAGTGTCAATTTGCTGTGGCGACCTCAGCAGGGTATAATGACACTGAGTCCACAACTTTCTCCAGATGAACTGTTCTCTGCTACCTAAAGAACAGTTGTAATTTTGAATGATCTCCGGCCCTCACCTGGAGATTGGCAACGATTGTTTCCCAGAAGGGAATGGTTGGTTTGGAGGGTGGAGTCTATGGCTTTGTACCTGTCCGAGGTCCCACGCCTCCTGAAACCTCACCCTCTCCAGGCTCCATCCCTCACATCTCCAGGAATTTCCCACCTGGAGTTGGCAACCCTATCTCCTTCCCAGCCAATCCTCAACCTACCTTTATTTCCCCCTCACTCTTCAGCTTTCCACCCCACACACATCTGCAGCCTCTCCCGTGCTCTGAAGCCCTGACTGCTACGTCACATTGGCTGTCATACGGGGGCCACCTCAGCAGCATATAGGCTTCCCAAGTCCCCCCGGGGGGCGGAGAAACCCCCGCCCCAGAGGCCCATTCCCTGGCGCCGCCGGATTGGGCCCCGGGGGAAACTCCTCCCTGATGTGTGCGTCACCTGGAAGTGACGCGACCATGCCGGGCACGCTGGGGGCGGGGCCATGGCCATCCAAGGGAAAACTCTATGGTTTTCCCTT